GTGCGTCACAGAATCCCGCAGGTCAGACTAATGTACCGCATGTAGTAACTCGAGGCAATGGAACAATTTTCACGCATTCACAAAATGAAATTACTCAGTCGCATAAAAAGAACGGTGTACAGGGGATTACCACCATGCTCGAAGAAGAACCCCACTCAAGATCCTTGGCCACCAGTGCAAAAGCACAAGCGGCTAACGCTGCGCAAGGCGGCGGGACATTCGGGATCAACCTCACTCTGTCGGGGGCAGATGACGGCGTGGGGAACAGAGGAAGAGCGGCTGAGCCCAAGGCCAGCAGTGAAGAACCCCACTCGGGGGCGGAATATACGCGCCAGCCACGAGTGACCGGCTGCCCCCATCGTGGAACGGAGCCGCAAGAGGGAACGCGAATCCCCAGCAAAAAAACCACTGCCCCGAAAAGAACAGTCAAGACGACCGGGGACCCCATCCCTTTACAGCCATACACGGTGTGTTTACCCCATTCATCGCTAACACATAATGGCACCGGGGGCCCATGTTCCCCGGTGGGCGGGTCGGTGGGACCATTATGTGAACCATCTATTTGCAATAAAAAGACCGTTTCTCTTGAAGAAGTGCCAGATGAGGAGGACGATTATAGTTATCAACAAAGCCTCAAGCCACGAGGGGAAGACCCGGTGATACACGCTGAGGAGTACCCAGAAGACTACAAAGTGACGGAACTAGAGGAAGAGTATTACGACGACAAATGGGACAAGGGGTGGCTCAAGCCACATAGCGCCGAATGGGTACGACGAAAGATGAGGCAGGAGAGAACCATGGAAGGAAAGATAGCTACCCTTCGCATGTGGGTACACCCGAGATGCCTTATTGAGGTAGACGAAGATCTGGTCCTAGATCTCATCGGATCCTCGAAGGAAACATACAAACAACGGGAACAGTGCCTGCAAGAAATGGAAAACCTATGCGTACCTCCCCAGTACATTAGAGGAGGGAAAGGCCAAAGCGTCAATATCTGAGTACAACTCGAAACCCTGGACACCTGCCAAGTACGAGCAGTCGACGCTCTAGTCGACAGCGGATGCACCGGAAGCTGCATAAACCAAGCCTTTGTACAGGAACACCGCATGAACACGGTAAAATTGCCAAAGGCCCAGGCAGTCTATAATGCAGATGGCAGCTGAAACAAGGGGGGAGATATCACGGAAGTAGTTGAGCTCCGGATGACCATTGAGGACCATCATGAGAAGATCGACCTAGCCGTTGTGGACCTAGGGAACGTACCCCTATTCCTGGGACATGACTGGCTCAAGCGCCATAACCCCATTATTGACTGGAAGACAGGGGCAGTAACCTTAGCCCGATGCTTGTGCCGAAAAATACCATTCCTCTTACCAGATGAAGACCCAGAACAATCATGGGGAATGGAGGTTGAAGAAGGGGACACCATCCTCGTAATAGACTTTGAAGAAGCCTTTCACGTCTGTGCCATGGGAAGTAAAGCGAACGAGCTAGCCGCCAAAGCCAATCAAGCAAAGAAGGAAAAGACTTTCGAGGAGATAGTACCGGAGCATTACCGGGAATTCCGAGATGTATTCGCAAAGGAAAACTTTGACGAACTACCACCACGGAAACCATGGGACCACGCTATCGAACTTATCCCCAATGCCAATGCTAGCTTAGACTGTAAAGTCTATCCACTTAACCCAACCGAACAAGAGGAACTGGATAAGTTCCTCGACGAAAATTTGGAGTCAGGAAGGATCAGACCATCCAAATCCCCGATGGCATCTCCCTTCTTCTTTGTCAAGAAGAAAGATGGAAAGCTGCAACCCGTCCAAGATTATCGCAAGCTAAACGAGATGACAATCAAAAATCGTTATCCTCTTCTGCTCATCGGAGAGCTAATGGATCAGCTCAAGGATGCCAAATATTTCACCAAACTGGATGTCCGGTGGGGATACAATAACGTACGAATCAAGGCGGGAGATGAATGGAAAGCCGCGTTCCGAACAAACCGAGGACTTTTTGAGCCCATGGTGATGTTTTTCGGACTCACCAATTCACCAGCCACCTTCCAATGGATGATGAATGACCTGTTCAAGGAGCAGATCGCACGAGGGGATGTCACGGTATATCTAGACGACATCCTAATTTGCACCAAGGACAAGGACAGACATCGCGAGGTCGTACAGGAAGTCCTGGCCATTTTACGGGCCAATAGTCTCTTTCTAAAAGTGGAGAAATGCGAATTCGAGGTATTGGAAACGGAATACCTCGGAGTAATCATTAGTCAAGGATCCATTCGCATGGACCCCGTCAAGGTCAAAGGAATCACGGAGTGGCCTCAACCTACAAAGAAGCGAGAACTACAGTCGTTTCTGGGGTTCACCAACTTCTACCGTAGATTCATCAGAGACTACAGCAAGCATGTACGACCCCTTACCCAGCTCATGGGGAAAACAGACTGGAAGTGGGGAACAGCTCAGGAAGAGGCCTTCCGAGAAATCAAGAGAAAGCTAGCGGAAGAAGTGGTACTAGCAATCCCTACTCGAACAGGAAAATACCGAGTAGAAGCGGACGCAAGTGAAGGGGCCATCGGGGCTGTATTATCTCAGGAACAGGAAGGGAAGTGGAGGCCAGTAGCATTTCTATCCAAGGCCTTAACGGTCACTGAACGAAACTATGAAATCTACGACAAGGAGTTGTTGGCAATCATGCTAGCCCTCGAAGACTGGAGACACTATCTGATGGGCACTCACCAGGAATTCGAAATCTGGACCGATCATCAAAATCTTCAGTACTTTCGAAAACCCCAAAAGCTCAATCGTAGGCAAGCACGATGGGTAACCGAGTTAGCAGAATACCATTTCACGCTACATCATAAACCCGGAACGGCCAACAAGAAGGCCGACCTATTATCCAGAAGGGCGGATCATGATCAAGGAGGAGAGGACAATCGAGAAGTGATAATGCTAAAGCCAGAAATGTTCCGAGCATTGATCATGCCAGGGGAAGAAGAAATCCATAAACGTCTTCGAACCACGTTGCGGGACATTACCAAGTGGGACAAGGGAATTGAGGCTTCCCTCCATCACGCAAGAGGAATCGTTCAAAAGGATGGACTAATGTATTATGATGGATGGCTATATGTTCCTCGAGATGCCAAACTACGAGGGGAACTAATCGCCATCCATCATGACCACATTACAGCCGGACACCCTGGAATCGAGAAAACCAAAGAGCTCGTACAACGAGAATACTGGTGGCCAAAGCTCAAAAATGACGTAGAACGGTATGTGAAGGGCTGCGAAGCCTGCCAACGCACCAAGACAAGTACTCAACGACGAAGAGCACCACTACACCCTCATGCGGTGCCCTCTCGACCATGGGAACACATTACGGTCGACATGATAGGCGAACTACCCGACTCAAATGGGTATAACGCCATCCTCATGATTGTAGACCGGTTCTCTAAAGAGGTCATCCCTGTACCATGTTCTACGGAGCTAACCTCCGCCGGGTGGGCAAAGATTCTCAGAGACCACGTATGGGCAAAGCACGGAATGCCTCAAAAGGTGATCTCTGATAGAGGCCCCCAGTTCGTGTCAAAATTCATGAAAGAACTTTACGAGATGCTTCATATTCAAGGCAATCCGTCCATGGCGTATCACTCACAAACCGATGGGCAAACGGAGAGGGCAAATCAAGAGATCGAAAAGTACCTCCGTATCTTTATCAATCATCGACAAAATGATTGGAGCGAATGGCTACCGCTCGCGGCTTTCCAGCACAACAATCGAAAACACTCCACGACGGGTTACTCCCCATTCGAAATAAATCATGGACAGAAACCACACCTCGCCCCTCTCACGGTAAAAGAAGGCACCAATCCAGCAGCAAGAGAGTTCGTAGCAGATATACAAAAAATACATGAACAAACCACCAAAGCCTTGGAGAAGGCAGCGGAAACCATGAAACGACAGTACGATAAACATCAAAGATCGGCAGTGGACTATCAACCAGGAGACAAAGTATGGTTGGACTCCACTAACTTGCATCTCCCCCGACCAATGAAGAAGCTGGGAGACAAAAGAGTTGGGCCCTTTGAAGTACTATCCAAACATGGCACATCCGCATACAAGTTACGCCTTCCCTCCATGTGGAAAATTCATGATCGCTTCAATGAAACACTACTCACCCCGTATCATCCGCCGGAATTCCCGATCCAAGAACAGCCTGCACCTCCACCTCCAGACCTTATCGATGGGCAGGAACAATATGAAGTGGAAGAAATAGTAGACAGAAGAGAAAGAGCAAGAGGAAGAGGAAGAAGACGCGGCACAGGAATCGAATACCTCGTCAAGTGGAAGGGATACCCGAGGGAAGAAAACTCATGGGTGGACGAGCAAGACCTGGACAATGCCAGGGACGCCATTGAAGACTTTGAGCAAGTCTCGTTCATCACTCGCCCGCCCGCAGATTGGTGGGAAGACAACGATGAGTCCGACTCCTGGACGGAAACAGAATCAGTAACCGAATCCGAAACTGATCATCCTTTGGTACAGGCAATACAAGAATACCTGATAAAACCAAACGCACCTTCGTTAGTAGGAGCCTACCTTCCAAGACCAAACTACGTTGCAGTCGGGACGACTGCCTTAACAGGGGGGTAATATTATGATTTCATGCTCTATCTTATCTTATCAGCTCTCTCGTAATCTCGCTATGCTAATTCTCCGGACTTGATTGCATCCACACATGAGGGTTCAGTACATTTAACGCACCGTTGCAGACACTTGTAGTATATTTAGCACGACCCAAACTGTATTTAAGTAGCTCGACTGCAGGTCTTAAACCTCAGTCTCGAACTAAAGTTTATTCACCCGATAACTTAGCCGGAACTCACTCTCGCTCAACTAAGCGATAGCTCCCTTGACACAAACCTGCGGACAACACAAAGCACCTGACCGAAGTGCGAGTCACGCTTAGTTGTTTGATCTTGTTTGTGAAATCGGTCGCTAACACATCTCATCCCTCTTCTTCTCCTCGGGATCCAATTCCCCTTCGGAATCCTCGACCAAAAACTTGTCTGCATCCTCCAAATACCTCTTCCACAATGCCCACTCAATCCGATGGCCTCCGAGCGCATAGAACTGGTCCCTTGTATCCAAGAAATGGTCGCGACGTTTGATGGCCAATCGAAGACCATCTTTCCCAAGGCAGCCATACCAAACTTGCATGTTGGTGACCTCGAAGGGATCCGCAGCATCAAGGGTTTCGGTACCCGTCACGTGGGCATTCCACAACTGGGCAACGTCCTTGTCAAGTCGCATACGCATCGCGATCTGTAGGGCCTCTGAGTTCACGTTCTTGAGGTTTCCGAGCTCGACCTTCGATGCTGCCCATTCCTCCCTAAACTCCTCCTCAACAAAATCCGATGGCCACTCCGGAGCATCACCCTCATGAAAATCGTCGACCAAGTCATTGACGCGGCTTCCGAGGAAATCCACCTTTCCCTCTACCCTTTCCAAGCCTTCCTGGAAATCGTCCATCTTGTCGCAAAGTTTTTGTAGGAGGTCGATGACCTCACTGGACCCTGCGGATCCCAAACTTTCACCTTGTGGAAACACACACTTGTTCTTCTTTAATTTGCACCGTTCGCAAGTGTGCCCACGGCAAATGAAACATCTTATGTTGTCTGTCTTACAACGTCCACAACGCTCTATACAGAACAAGTCAGCATAAGTGACGGGATCCTATGGAAGTCACTTACCGTTACCCTTATATTCTTCGTCGTCCGCCTGCATCTCAGGCTCGGTCTTCAATTTCTTCAAAGGCCTTCCCGATGGCCCCACAACTTCCTCTTCCCCACTAACCACCACCGCACTAGACTTGATCTTACGCTTCCTCAAAACGTCCGCAGCCTCCGAATCAGTTGCCTTGCCCTTACCCTTCCTATCCTTCCTCTGCTTTACCAATTTTTTCAATGCCTTCCCCTTTGGGTCCTTCTCCCGCTCGTCATCTCCGTCGGACCTGCTACCAACCTTGCTCCCCTCATTCCCATCTTCCTTCTCCTTCTCCACCTCCGTGGCCTTGCTAGCTTCCACCAAAGCCTTGGCCCTGGCCTCCTCTTCCAACCTCTGCTGCTCTGCGGCGGCCGCCTCTGCCCTTGCCTTAGCCTCTGCCTCCTCTTGCCGTTTCTTCTCCGCGGCCTCCCGCTCCTCCCTCTCCTTCCTTGCCTTGGCCTCCGCAACCTTCCTCTCCTGCCCCAATTTTTTCTCTCGCCATTCCAACTCCAGAGCCCGCCTCTTTTCCTCCTTTTGTTTCTGTGCTTTCCAGGCCTCATGAGCCTCCGCGGCATCCTCCCTAGCCTTCTCCACGGCATCCTGCTCATCATAAAAGGCTTCCAGGTCTTCAGGCCAAATATCTTCGGGCGTCGGGGCAGGCTCGTACGGTTCAGGCGTCACGGAAACATGGTACTCGATGGTTGATGACATGATGAACAATGAGGACGAAATTCAGAAAATAGAGGAGATGGTGGTGGTAGAAAGCTAAGAGGTGAAAAGCCACGTGACCAACCTGAAAAAATTCCACGCGGTCACACCCGGCCATGGGGATCTGCGTCCTTGAGGGCAAGAACGCTAAGGGGGGGATACTGTAACGAGCATGCCGACGGAAACCCGACTTCCACTCAACCCAACAAACCACAGCCCGGAATCCTATGGATCCCGATTCCCAGTTTCTATTTCATATTCCATTTCATATTCTATTTTATATTTCACTTCTCCATTACAATTTATCAATAGCCCAACATCGGTAGCGAACATGTCATCGGACCCCATTGGCTACCGACCGGTAGAATACATCCTCCGACAACCCTAGAATGTAGACCACTCCAAGTAGGAACTAGATCGGACTCCTAACTAGTATATAAGCCTTAGAATTACACTGCAGATACTCAGTTCGAATATCAACTTGGTTCAGCCAAATCTCTCTCTCTCTAACTCTAAGTCTAACTCTCGTTCTCCAGTCCGCGGAACTCTGATCCATTGGACTTATCTCTTACCTCGTCCCTGCCACTCCGCGGACTTCTGTCCGTATCCATCTCAGGGCTTCGGCTCAGGGGTGACGTTGCTAATAGCTTCGCCTATGCCCGACGCATCCCACAGCATTCCGCTACGTGCACTTACCGCCGCAATCCTATTGGCACGATCCTAACAGAGGTTCAAGGTGTCGGGGGCGAGGGAATTAACAATGCTGGAGGCTTCCATCGCTGACATCTTGGTGAAGTACCAAAGAGGACAGTACTTGAAATCTGAGAGTTGTTTGAGAGCATAGGGGTGAAGGATGGGATCAGCCTCTTTGTCAACGCTCAGTGAAGGATCGAAGTTCACGAGTTTCGGGCGCTTCTTTTCTTTCTCTTTTCTCTCAGTCTCTCTCTCTTTTTCAGCCTCTTTCTGTGCCTTCTGCACTGCTTCTTCAGCCGTCTTCTTTGCTTGGTCTACTGCCTGTTTATCTGCCTGAACTTGTGTGTCCCACTGATCTCTCTCCTTGGCGTTCCATGTCTTCCAGTTTTGCACCAGTTGAGCGACAGCTTCCTCAGATGAAATATTATTAGCTGACTGGACAGCATCACAGATGAAAGAGTAATCGACAGAAGCAAAATCGGGGCATGGGGTGAGGTACGGATTGAAGGTGAGATGGGAAGGTGGGTCAGGGGTCACAGACATCTTGTGGGAAGATGGGTTTGGCAATGAATAGCGAAAACTAGCGAAAACTAAGCTTGTCAAGCGTTCAGTCGTTCAGTCTGCACTTCAAATCTTTGAGGCGTTGAAGCGAGATAAGGTAACGGAAGAAAATCGTTATATCACTCAGTCACTGTCTCATACGCAAACCCTGTTCTAAGACCTTACTCGTGCCTCATATATTCTTAGAACATCCACATTTCACCTTCTTCCTTATACAGATGTTTGGTTATTTGGTTGACTTCCATAAGTAGGTTGACATCGGAGGTGAGCTTGTGAATGGACTGGGCAAAACCCCGATGTTTCAGAGGGTCACGCTTCTTGTGACTTGGGACTTAGAAAAAATTCTGCTGATTTTGCCTTGCAGCCTGCCTCCGATGGCCTCTAGGTCTCTCTCATCCTCATTTAAACCCGGGGAGTATTATTCCTTTGATAATTTCTTGCTTTAGTGCTCCGAAATGCAATTTTTGAATGTCTCTTTTGCACTGCTGTTCAGTCCATGCAGGAGGGGATGGATTCTGATGGAAGGATGATGACATCATATATGGGTAGAGTGGTTCCGCGCTTTGGAAAGAAATTAAGACAGAAAATGGGCATGAAGTGATAAGAAGGTAAGGCATAATCAAAATAATCAACCTAGAATTCACTATGAGGGAGGGAGGGAGGACAAGCATGAAAGCTGGCAGAGAGGATGCGAAATTTTTCTAAGTTTGATGTCACAAAAAGTGTGACCCTCTAAAACGTTGGGGATTTGCCCAGCTGCTTCGCCAAAAGTGAACAGCACAGCCACGTGGCAAAGCTGGCTGGTGCATGAGCCTACCTGTTCTCCTCTAATATCTCCAATGTCTCTATTCAACTTGCTGCCCTCTCGCCATCAGGTTACTACGCACATATATGCAGGAAATACCATGGCATGACTCTCTGGAACATGGCCGAAGGAGTGATGAAATGTTCGAGAATTTATCCTCATTTCAGAGGTACGTATCGTTTATCGTTATTCTGTTACATGCTTGAAATTTATCTTGTTAATTGCAGCATGCATTACTGAAGGATGGATGGATGTTCTTGTCAATATTCTGCATCACGGAACCATTACAGGAATATTATGTCGACCGCTTGAAGGAAGCAAAGTCTGCTGCACAGACAGTCAATACACCTCGCAATGTTGTGTGCTGATCACTCTCCAGAGGCAAGCTCTCTTTATGTAGATAATGGAAAACAGGTACGCCTTGAATATTCATTGATTCATCCTCCGCATGTGTCAAGCTAATGCAATTTTAGCCCCTTGTATGTGTCTGTTCAAGCAGAATATATCAAATGCCAAACATGGTTTGCCTTCAAGGTTGACCATAACTGACTATATACTTCTCTTTTCCATCTGGAGGCGTACGGAAGGAAAATATGGAGTTGAAGAGGTTTGTGTCATGGCAACCATTCAACAACCCTGTAATTATAGGAACTCAAATCACAGTTTATGGAGTGTATGACTATAGCTCCTCAGGAGTTATTACTTCCTACGCTATTGATGGTGGTAATGCAACATGAGTTACACATACGTCTGGCGGCAGAGACACCTACAATGAAATGTTTTGGGAGTCAGATTCATTGGTGCTCGAGCAGCAGTGAGTTATCAGCATGTCTTTGCGTTACCAAGGAAATTCAGACCTTATACAGCGAACTAGTCGTGACGATGGTGCACGTCAATACAGGCTATGGCGATCTCAAAGGGACTATGTGGTTCGATTATTTCAATGTCTACAATGAAACAACTTCATCAGCTTCCACATTCACCGGTTCCGCAACATCTTCATCGTCACCTTCGGGTTTTATGGAAAACTCCCCTGATGCTGCCGTTTCCCTGGCTTCCTCTGATTCTTCATCAGCCAACATTGGTGCCATTGTCGGCAGTATCGTTTTAAGCAAAAGCGACAGGATGTGCATACCCACGCAATCAGTGATCCCCCGCCACCATTTCCGGGTAAGCCCATATCTGGTGTGGCACTCATCAATTCTAATTTCTCAGGTTCTGATGGTCCCAGACCTCCGCTTCTTACTTCTGAGTCCACAGAACCCTTTATACCGACGAGACAAATACCGGTCTTCCCTGTTGTCACGTACAGGGATGGTGCCAGAGATAGCATGGATACCTCCTCTTTCACAGAACCCATCTTCGCTGGTCCAACTTCTAGTATGTCTTCCAAGTTGTCACACCACCAGACAGTCTTGTCATATGTACTGGTGCACCAGAGTCGTCAACAGCGCCGATGTTGTCCTCGTCCGCTGGTCGGTTTGCCGGTGATAGCGTAGCCGAGATGAAGCAACGCCAAGGGGGGCCATGGCAGGATATTTCGAACTTATCCAGGATATCGACAGTGGGATTCGTACACGTCCACAAGAAGATGACTTGCCCCCAGTCTACAGTGCTAACTAGCTGCTTCATCTACGCCACTGCCTCTTCACGAACTATTTTGGCTCAGCGTTACATATCAGCGACACCTTCACGCTACCATGTTACTTTCTACTTTGTACTTGCAGCGCACAAGCGTCATCATGGTATGCCCAGACCGGTACCCTGTACTACACTACTAGTTTGGAATGTTTTATTCTACTATTTCTTGGGGTATATTGTTGGCAAGTACTAGCAGATGTTTTATACCTTCTTGTACGCTGCAGTGGTTCTGCCACTATAAAATTGGATCCGTCTCTGTTGCAGAGTAAATTCAGTGAAATTCTGTCCTATATTTTTGTCGAAGAAATTACGAGGTGCCAGTGATTCCATGTCAGCATTTGGTCTTCGCAAGTCAAGGCCTTAATTTGCATGGAGATATATGCGCCGAGGCGACTAAACGCAAGCTCATGCGCCAACGGGCAGAAACCACACGTGGTTTATAATTCCAACAACAGAATCTAGAATGGTAAGTGAAAAATCGCTTGCTCCATTGTTGCATAGCTACTAAATTCAGCTACTATTACAATCGCGGACATACATGAATGATCCTGAGAGGCTAAAGCTAGTAGTCCCAGAGAGGAGTCTCGACGGTGTACTTCTCTCCTCGACAAAGTTCAAAGTGCTTCACCGTGAGTTGCGCAGCTCGGAGGAAGAGTGTACCGTCGAGTTTCTCTGCTCCTGGAAGCTCCGTCCCCGTAAAATCGGCCTGACCACCAGGACGTGTACCATACAGTGCTGCATAATAGGCCAATGCCCTCTGAGTCTTACACAGATGGTCATCCGGGTGGAATAAGGCTTGCTGAATTATCGCAAACCACGGATTCGGTGTGGACGACAAATTCCTGTCTGTTGCTGTCACAGGAGACCTGTTAGGAACCATGGCCCGGGATTCGTCGATATCTGCCTCAAAGAACTTTGGTATATCGAAGCTGGGACGGCCGCAAGAAATCCACCACGCAAAAGTTACAGCCATATAGCTACGGAGAAGTAGCGCATGGGAGGTGGTGGAAAGGAAAGTTACGAAAGATGGCAAAAATAAGGCCGATGTGACAAGATGCATACTGAAAAGAAGATTAGCCACTGTTTCCTCCGTGAAGATTGGTACGCACAGAAAGAAGTCAGCATGGAACCTTTTCCCAGGCCTATAGCCACCTATTGCATAGATGATCGTGGTCATCCACTGCAACTCCTCGATTTTCCGATGTAATTCTTGAGGGTTTGATAGATGTAACGACCACTGATTGGTATACCGGAATAACACTTCTCCGTTTGCGGTAATTGTACTTCCTATAGGGATTTCGTCACCACCAGGAGGAATAGTAAGTGTTTCATCTTTCAGAACATGCACTAGTATGTCGAAGGCATGAGTTCCCTTCTTCCCGCTGGGAAGATCAGGCGTTTCAAGAGCCGTAGCCTTTTCTGCCTGCGCATCTAACGCCGCAACGGAAATCAAAACAGAATAAGGCAGGAGATTTTGAAGGGTGTCAGAATGAACCGCGGTTTGGGTGAGACCTATGAATATCATAAGGACGTGTGTGTGTGCGATGAAAATCAAGACATGCCTTCGATGACTATTCCTGGCAATCCAAATTCAAGACCATATCCAGTGTGTATCATAGGGTGAACCAGGCCTGCCATCAGCCGGTTGAGCATACCCGGCTGCTGGTTACCGTTCGTCATCGCATCGACGTTCACAGATTCGGAGAAGACGAACTCTTCCAATACAGAAGCGATTCCCTTTTCGGCTATTTTATCCTTGAAGAAGGTCATGTACGCCCCATAATATCTAAGGTGTCCATCAAGCCCTGAAGACATGAAAGGAATACCGTACGAACTTTTCGTCTCCTAGGTGAACGTTGAAATTCGCACAAGATATCAGACTGGGAGATTTGATAGCGGGCTTTTGGCTAGGGCTATCTTCGCGATATATGGCTTCGATTATCTCTTTACTGGCACCGAGAGCCCAAACAGCCAATACATGGTGAACGATATGACTGTCCAAGTCAGTGGTAAGTTTAAGTCAGACCACTGCAATAAAATATGTAACTTACTTATGAAACCTTCTGCTATTGAAGAAAGTGTGCCACTTCTCGTGATCATCCCGAAGGACGCTCTGCAAAGCCAGAGTGGACTCTGCATCAGCCCCAGGAAGAAAGACCAGAGTCAGACTGGAGGGGGGGCTGGATGGGGCTGGAAAAAGCTCGATTGTGCTGGAAGACATGTTCAATGCAGAGTCCTGTAAGAGGCTGTAGTATGTGTGTACTGAGAGGCCAATCAAGCAGAATGCATTTTATATACCCAGAGCACCCCAAAACTCCGTTACTTGTAAAAGGTCACAGGTGGCCTCGGGATCGTTTACATGAGAAAGCATAAGAAAGAATGTACAATTGCCGATGGAATTCATCACTTTTCATCCTATTACCCATCCATCTATGTCATGAATCACCCCTATTTTTTGCTTATCTTATCTTATCTCATCAACTCGTCATTCGACTCTCATCATCAATCCTCGTACCTGACCTGCTTCATTCATGACCCGATCAATCACACGCATCGCCTACCGCTCGCACGCATGATCCGTTTGATGGCCCATAGACCGATCACACTCTATGGGCCAGATCCTTCTTCACCCAGTCACGCTTCTTTAGGTCGTCTGTGATCACACCCTAGGATGGATAAGCCACCACGTACGCTCCTCAGAAGACCGCGCCCTATGGACGCTAGTCTTCTCACTCACAGGAGGACTTCTCCTATACCAAGCACCATATGATACAGAGGACATAGAAGACAGCGCTGCATTGGGACAGCACGCACCGAGACACAGGAGCGGTACATACTAGTAAATACCACAATGTATTTAAACGAGCCTTGCTGTGGTCTTACACCCCAGCTTCGGCTAAAGTTATACACTCCTAACTTTTCATGCAGAAACTCCCTGTTTCGTGCTTAAGGACTATCGTACCTTACTTAGCGATTGCAATGCCCTCTTCACAACTGAATCACCGAACGCGAGTGACAGTTAAGAGGCAACCGTTGTACAATCCAAAGTTAGTGCGTTACAATTAGCCAAAGCTTGCTTTGCATACCCTCACCGTCGAACAAACAAGTTACACTGTTGTTCTACATATTCCTACTACGACTATTCACGATAGCAGTGGTCATACTGTTAATCGTAACCAGCACTTTCATTGAAAGACGTTGACCGTATGAACACAGAAGACTACGAAACATACTACTCCGCGACTACCCTCGAAACCACGCTCATTCTCTACGCCTACGAGCTAGAGCGAACACACCAAAGAGCACCGACCCTCCCGAGTGAGCGAGTAACGGACTCTAATGAATCCTCCATCGGACACCTCACTCCCATCAGACTCCGCCCAAGCACGCCACAGCCCTCAGTCCCAGAAGATGATAGTGTCCTCCCACAGCAGGACATGGAAGGGCAAAATGGCAGCAGGGGTGAAGAAGATGGGTTTTCCCTTTGGGAAGAAAGCACCAGACGAAACAGCGTCTCTTCAAACGATGGAGACGGTTCCGGAGAGCAGCTACACGTACGAGAAGCCCGAAGGATCTACATTGATGTTGCTAGAGGAAGAATCCTCACCGACCGAGGCCATAAAGTACGCCTCCCAAGTACAACACCAGGATCAATTGAAGGAGAGTGGGTACGACCAAATGCCGGGCGCGATGTGGGAAGCAGTAGCAGCGGCCCAGCTAGTTCAGACTACGGAACGGCCCGGTCAACAGATGAGCACACCCAGCGGTCATGGGGAGAACCCCTCATGGAAAGAAGCAGCCCAACAACGGAAGGCGAGCCAAGGGATACGACGGGGGATTCCCCAGAGCCAAGAATCCAAGGCCCTGGGTCCCCGACCAGCTCCTCCAGCTGGCTATCCTGGTACTCGGCAGACGGAACTCAACGAGTCCACGGAATCGACACTCCAAGACGTTATACGTCGCTGATCCCTAGCTCAAGTCGATACGTTTCAGACCCTCCAATCCAACCTGACCCCAGAGAACGAACCCAGTGGGCAGAAGAGGAACGTCGCGCCTCAGCCAGAAATATTATCACTATCGCAGACCTCAGGACATGGGCAGATACCCCCAGGGAGTCCACAACTGCACGAATCTCACCAGTCGAGTCCACCTCATCTATCGGGGGAACCCTCGACACTATCACCGAGGAGGAAAACCCTATCCCTCTCTCAATCCCAGAACCCACTGGGACCCAGACCCCATACTACACCGCCGAAGAAGACCCATGGGGAGAGCAGACAGATGCAGAGGAGCTACTCGAGCAGCACCCCCACGCAGACTCACCGCCCTGGCAGCACAGGGTCTTATTCGCAGACACCAATGAGGAGGACACTGTCCTCTGGTGGTTCACAGGAGGTCAATCCCGTGGAGGAACCACCGACATATCAAATCCCGTTGAGGACGAGCTCGATCAAGCAAGTCTCACAGATTGGCCTCACTGCAGATGTCGGATCTGTCGACGACTATGGGACCTGGCCCAAGCCCGATATAACGAAGTTGGACCTCACCCAGAGCTCGAACCATTCCTCCTCCCCGAACCTACCTTCTACGTCGAACCCCCCTTTATATCACAAAGAGAGCTTCAGTGGTGGGTCTACGACAGGGAGGACTTCGACCAAATCTTTGAAGAATACTGAAGGTACTTCGCATATGTCTGGAACTGGAACCAGATATGGATCGACAGAAACCCCTACCTTTTACGGTATGAACCCGTCTTTCACCCAACCAACCATCTCGACAGATTGGACCCATGGGTTAGAGCCTGGATACAAATTGACTGGCTCACCCATACGGGAGCATATGACAACGACGAACCCTTCCTCCGTAGTCCCAATAACGAAAGCAACGAGTTCGTCCAGGGATCCAGTAGGGAACCCCACCGAAGAAGAACTCTATAAAATGAACTGGGACCAGTTCTGGTGGCATATGCATGGTAGACTACCCCACGAAACTTACTGGTCCACTACTCCACAAGGGCAAGCCTACCAACAGGTGGAACCCGACTCCCACTTAAAAAGACACATACTATCGCAAGAAACCCAGTACCTTGCCATAAACTATTGGAATATCCTACACCCCAACTGATTACTAGTCCAAGGAGGACGTTATGAAATCCCCGATACTGAAAGCTCAGAATCAGACTTCTCAGACCTGGGAATCCTCCGAGCCCCCACCACCGCTACCGGACCTGGTGGGAGGTCGGTACTATTTGCAGGAGGAAAACAACTAGACCAACACCTCCGAAGCATGGGAGGTGCTGCAACAGCCACCACCTCTGGACCAGGAGGCGGACCAGCACCCACCGTACCTGGTGGTGGCAGTGGAGGTGGCGGTGGAGGCCCACAACCCCCTCCAGCGGCGCCACCCACACCGCATAGTAATCCAAACCTCCGGTCACTCCCTCACCCCACCAATCCACCACTACCACCAGACCCACCGGGTAACTGGGAAATCGTGGCAGGACAAGCCAATCCGTGGGGAGACGTTAAACCCACGCTCATAGAAAAACCAGATGGATTCTATGGGAAATCCCACGATCTCGACCGATTCTTTGACGACTGTGATGCCTACTTTGAAACATTTTCAAAGTACTTCTCCCTTAACACAATGCATGGGTACGGACCCAATTGAGTAACATTTGCAGCATCCCTATTCAAAGGAAACGCTAAACAGTGGTGGGTGGACCAACGACGAAACTATTGGGACTCCCATGCACACCATCATCAGTACCCCGCATGGGCCACCTTCAAGGAAGAAGTACGGAGACGATTTGAAGAAGTAGCAGAGGTCAAGATTCAACGAATCGAATGGAAGAAGCTCCAGCAGTCCCAATTCAGAACCGCCGTGGAGTTCTTCGATAAATTCGAAGAGCTAGCCATAAAAGCAAAACGATTGATAACGCGGACCAAATGGAAGAGGTAGTAAAATACGCCATCCGACCCCGGGTAAGAGAAATCATCATGGGAAGCGACAATCGTCAACCCCAAGGCTACCACGAATGGAAGGACAGAGTTAGCCACATGGACGAAAACTACTGAGTAGGGGTAGCCGAACGCGGGGGCCGCCCTGCAGGAACCGAGGGGCCCAAACCAGGATCCACCGGACGAACAAGCACCTCAGGGGGAGGCAGAAATGATAAAAGGGACGCCACCAGAACCACCTATGGGGGAGAAGGCAAACCCATGGACATTGACCATCTCAAGAAGGAGAGGCGATGCTTCCGATGCAGTAATACGGGACACCTCAGTAGGGATAACAAATGCCCAACTGACAAGTCCAGATGGCGCCGCGTCAAGAAGCCAAAGTCAACGCCCTTCGCGAAGAAAACAACACCATTCACACAGCGCCTAAGAGCCTTAATCGAAGAGGCTGAACAGGAGGAAAACCCTGCTATGACAAAAGTCGAGGAGGTAAAAGAAGAGTCAACCGAGGACTAGGTGATTCGCCTCGGCCGACCAAGACTTATGTTTCAAACCGTATGCATCCTATTACGAAATTTAACGTTGATACTTTACATGTAGGAACTACGACGGACAATATACCTATTTTGTCACGTCCTCCAGAAACTCAGACTGAATCACTGGGCGATATTCGCCAGGACGACACTCGTCATTCATCCAGAGCTCCGCACGGCGTAGAACAGGATTTCCGCCTTCGAATTGACCAGGACCAGTCAATCGATAAAGAACCTCACCCACCAAGCCCTCGCGTGGGCGGCCTCCGAAGGACGGAAGTTGATTTAACAGGCAGTAGAACCCGAGTGTATCTACCTCGGGGAGCGAGCCCAAGCAGTCTAACGACAACAGGCTCGGGCAGGCCACAATATGTGGTCAAACTTCCAGCAGGCTGGAAGGAAGAGAAGATTCCAAATGGTTGGACGGAGAGGCCCCAAGTAGGGGACAGATGGAACCCAAACCCGAGGGAAAACCAGAGTGAGGAGACCCGCAGTGCACGAGTTGAGGATCCTCTCCAACCCTCGGGAGACACGAATATTTCGGTTCTCACCGGACCAATGTCGGAGGAACCAAGGTATGGAGTACGAGGGATTACCTCCTCCAGTACAATGACTGTATCGGTAATGAACCCCACCAAGCGCAACTCATGCGCAACTCCAGAAACGAGCAAGCGAACCGCTGCTGCTGGCAGCGGTGGATCCAGAACGAGTAGGCCCCTCTGTGATGGCGGGGAACCCCTCGGAAAAGCGGAGGCCCATGCCTGCAGGAACAGGTGGAGGCCTGCAGTGTAATAGAGCTACCGGATGAAGGTTTGGCAGTAACCTCCATCGTCCCCAGAAGCAGGATCGATACCCCAGCTCGGATCAAGCTCCCTAGCCGGGGAGAAGGAAATTGCCTGGTACAGGGAAAGTTCCGAGAGAGTCAGGCGAGCCCCCTGTGCCAGGATCAGACTGCGCCCAGTTGCCCCTGGCGAAGATCGGTTGACAACCCTGGGCCACCTGCTCCTACCCCAATTGTAGCAATGGCTCGTGTTGGAAAAGCAGCTGAGGCAAGGAACCAGGGGGAATCCCATGGGACCCCCTGGAGAGCCAATATGTGTGCAGTCCAGTGACAGGTTACTGATCTACCCATCGGGGTAAAGGACAAGGGTAAGGACCCTTCAAGAATAAAGACCTCACAGGGCGAAAGCCATACTGTCCGAGGCAGAGACAAGGACAAGGGGTCTCTGGGAAGTAAGTCCTCAGGGAGCCGGTTCTCCCCTCGAGGCAACCAAGCTATTAAAAAGGTAACTGATAGCAGAAATCCTGACGACGAAGACTGATTATAGTTACCAACAGAGTTTACGGAACTCTAAAAAATCCGGACTGTGCGGGCCATCTCCTGAGTGGAAAAGACCTTAGTAGCGCAAGCGAACAGGGCAGGAAGCTCAGTACCTACAGAAGCACAAAGGGCCACAAAACCTGTAGCGAACAGGCGACAAGGGGAAGTCCATGATGCCGAAAGAGGGAAACCTCGAGTACTCATCGGAGGAGTACCCTTCGGATCAACAATACCTAGAACCCTACACCTCGGCATGGGTTCGAAGGGCTATGCGTATTACCCCAGATGCCACCAAAGCCCACCTGCGACAGTGGATCCACCCTCGACGACTAGAGGAAGTAACCGATGAACTAGTAGAAACTTTGCTAGAACGTCCTCACGAGACGTGGACAGAGGCTGGCCACAAAGCTCAATGGATGGCCGATCTTCGACAACCACCACAGTATATCCGGGGAAGGAAGGGACGGAATGTCACTATCTCCCTTCAACTAGAAACCTTCGATACCTTGACTAAACACCCTGTCAAAGCCTTGGTAGACAGTGGATGTACGGGAAGTGCTATTGACCGAACATGGGTCGAGGAGCATCAGATTACCACCTGAACCGCGGCACACCCAGTACCAGTATATAATGCCAACGGAACTCGAAACACGGGGGGCGACATCACCAATTACATTGAGGTCCGCCTCGCGATCGGGGATCATACCGAACGAATAGAGTTGGCCATAGTCGATCTAGGCACCACGCCGATCTTTCTAGGACATGACTGGCTACAACGTCACAACCCCCTGATCGACTGGAGCACCGGGACAGTCACCCTTGCATGATGTGATTGCCGAAAAATCCCCTTTCGACTACCCGATGAAGACCCGAGCCAGCAGTGGGGAACGGAGGTTGAAAAAGGAGATAAAATCCTAATAATAGACTTTGAACAAGCATTCCATGTACGTGCCATGGGAACTAAATCCACCAGTTTAGCCACAAAGGCCCATCTCGATAAAAAGGAAAAAACTTTTGAAGAAATTGTACCCGAAGTCTACCGAGACTTCGCAGATGTGTTCGCTAAAGAAAATTTTGACGAACTACCCCCACAAAAACCATGGGACCATGCCATTGAACTAATACCCAATGCCAATGCTAGCCTGGATTGCAAGGTATACCCCTTGAATCCCCAAGAACAAGACGAACTCGACCACTTCCTAGACGAAAACCTGTCCACAGGAAGAATTCGACCATCCAAATCCCCCATGGCCTCGCCTTTCTTCTTTGTCAAAAAGAAAGATGGAAAACTGCGACCTGTCCAAGACTATCGCAAACTTAATGAAATGACCATTAAGAATCGATATCCACTCCCACTCATATCCGAACTAATGGACAGGTTACGGGGTGCCAAGTACTATACAAAACTAGATGTGAGGTGGGGATACAACAATGTTCGTATCAAAAAAGGGGACGAATGGAAGGCGGCCTTCCGTACCAATCGAGGCCTATATGAGCCCCTTGTCATGTTTTTTGGACTTACAAACTCTCCCGCAACCTTCCAATGGATGATGAATGACCTTTTCAAAGACCTGATAGCTCAGGGAGTGGTCAGTGTCTACCTGGACGATATACTCATTGCCACCAAAACCAAAGCAGAGCACCGAACCGTAGTTCAGAAGGTCCTACAAATACTTCGAACCAACAAACTCTTCTTAAAAGCTGAAAAATGCGAGTTCGAAGTAGAGGAAACCGAATACCTAGGGGTAATCATCGGTGGAGGATCCATAAAAATGGACCCAGTCAAGATTGCAGGAATCCTGGACTGGCTGACACCAACTAAGAAACAGGAATTACAATCCTTTTTAGGATTCGCCAATTTTTACCGCCGATTCATTTGGCACTATAGTCACCACGTCAAACCCCTAACCTGACTTACTGGGAAGGAAGCATGGACATGGGGAAAGGCGCAACAAGATGCCTTCGAAACCATTAAACGACAATTTTTAGAAAACGTCGTTCTCGCCATTCCCAGTAACGAAGGAAAATTCCGAGTAGAGGCAGACGCCAGCGAAGGCGCCGTTGGTGCTGTACTATCCCAGGAACAGACCGATGGAAAATGGAGGCCTGTCGCATTCCTCTCCAAATCACTTTCCACCACCGAACGGAACTACGAAATTTACGATAAGGAGTTACTAGCAATCATGATTGCCCTGGAAGACTGGCGCCACTATCTCATGGGCGCCGTACAAAAGTTCAAGATTTGGACAGACCACTCCAATCTCCAATATTTCCGAAAACCCCAGAAGTTAAATCGTCGACAAGCTCGATGGGTTACCGAGCTCACAGAATATGATTTCACCCTTCACCACAAACCAGGTACTGCAAATAAAAAGGCAGATTTACTCAGCCAAAGGGCTGACCACGATCAAGGCAAAAAGGATAACGATGACATCGTTATCCTTAAGCCTGAACTCTTTAGGGCCTTAATAATGCCCACAGAAGAGGCCATCCACCAAAAAATAGCCAAGGCCACCAACAAAGTTCACCTGTGGGATAAAGGAATCTCTGACTCTCTCAGCCATGAAAAAGGAGTTCAACAGAGGGGAAACCTTCTGTTCTATGATGGGAGAATTTATATCCCAAAAGACGTCCCACTACGAGGGGAAATAATTTCCTACGCTCACGACCATATAACAGCAGGGCACCCAGGGATCGCAAAAACCCAAGAATTGGTACTTCGCGACTACTGGTGGCCTAAAATGCAAAAAGACATAGAAAAGTACGTGAAGGGGTGCGAAGCCTGCCAAAGAACTAAACCTGACCATCGCAAACGCGCCGCTCCCCTTCACCCTAATGCAATACCCACGTGACCATGGGAACATATATCGGTCGACCTAATCACTGGACTACCTGAATCCAAAGGCTACAATGCAGTCCTAGTAATCGTCGACCGATTCTCCAAATACAATATCTTTGTACCATGCACGAAGGAAATCGCCTCTACCGGATGGGCTAAAATCCTCCGAGATGAAATTATTTGTCGATTCGGGGTTACCCCCTCCAAAATAATCTCAGACTGAGGCCCACAATTTGTGTCCAAATACACGAGGGAACTATATACCTTACTAAACATCCAAGGCAATCCTTCCACCGCATACCACCCTCAGACAGATGGGCAAACCGAACGAGTTAACCAGGAGCTTGAAAAGTACCTGCGTAACTTCGTTAACTTCAAACAAAATGATTGGAGTGACTGGCTACTCATAGCAGCCTACGCCCTCAACAACCAAAAACATAGCGCGACGGGATACTCCCCGTATAAAGTTTTATTTGGACAAGATGGGCAAATACGACCCGTCGCACTCAAGGCTACAACCACACCTTCGGTAGCCACAATGGTGGAAACACTCCACCAAACCCACGAACAAGCAAAGCTCGATTTGACAAAAGCAGCAGAAACAATGAAACGAGCATATGATCGACACCAACAATCACCCCGAGACTACCAACCAGGAGATAAAGTTTGGTTAGACACCACCAACTTACACCTACCACAACCAGCAAAGAAGCTGGATAACAAACGAGTTGGACCCTTCGAAATAATAACCAAGAAAGGCCAATCAGCATACCAGCTTCGACTACCGGTCGGATGGAAGATCCATAACCGGTTTAACGAAGTCTACCTAACTCCATACTTTCCACTGGAGTTCCCGAACCAAGAACTACCGGGACCTCCTCCTCCTGAATTGATCGAAGGACAAGAAGAATATGAGATAGAAGAACTCCTACAGGACAGGGAGATAGCCATACGACAAGGAAAACGCAGAAAACACATCACCGAATACCTTGTCAAATGGAAGGGATACCCGATCAAAGAAGCCACCTGGGTACCATGCAGCCAACTAGCAAATGCGGAAGAACTAGTGCTCGAATATGAGCAACACTTGGCAGTGGTATACAAGGAAGAAAGCGATGACAACGAATCCATCGCAACGTCAGCAACCGAAAACTCAACCTTCTTCCCAGATTCCCTGGGTCCAGCTTGCACAATCACATCCCAACAATCATCATTATCTCTATCCAACATCGAATCAGAAGATGAGTTTGACACTGACTCAGTCGGGACGACCGAGTCTTAGTCGGGGGGTAATGTCATGAATCACCCCTATTTTTTGCTTATCTTATCTTATCTCATCAACTCGTCATTCGACTCTCGTCATCAATCCTCGTACCTGACCTGCTTCATTCATGACCCGATCAATCACACGCATCGCCTACCGCTCGCACGCATGATCCGTTTGATGGCCCATAGACCGATCACACTCTATGGGCCAGATCCTTCTTCACCCAGTCACGCTTCTTTAGGTCGTCTGTGATCACACCCTAGGATGGATAAGCCGCCACGTACGCTCCTCAGAAGACCGCGCCCTATGGACGCTAGTCTTCTCACTCACAGGAGGACTTCTCCTATACCAAGCACCATATGATACAGAGGACATAGAAGACAGCGCTGCATTGGGACAGCACGCACCGAGACACAGGAGCGGTACATACTAGTAAATACCACAATGTATTTAAACGAGCCTTGCTGTGGTCTTACACCCCAGCTTCGGCTAAAGTTATACACTCCTAACTTTTCATGCAGAAACTCCCTGTTTCGTGCTTAAGGACTATCGTACCTTACTTAGCGATTGCAATGCCCTCTTCACAACTGAATCACCGAACGCGAGTGACAGTTAAGAGGCAACCGTTGTACAATCCAAAGTTAGTGCGTTACAATCTAGTAATATGGATGTGAGGAAACTTGTAATGCACCATCGTTTAAGAGGCCTTAACCTTCATAAAGTAGACTTGAAGTCCTAAATAGGTAGGCAGCATCAGACACAAGACACAAGCATTTGATCCATTCAGTATTAGAGACATGTAGCAGCTGAAGGTTCGAGACGTCACAAGGAAGCTGAAGGTAGTGGAGGCCTGTTATTGGCCACCGTCGGATGATGTTACAGCGCTTTCGGAAAACCTTGTCTGAAGGCAATTTTGATCGGATCGGAGTACAATCAGAGCGAATGTCACAAGTCCGACAAGTCTGAAGCCCTAATTTGGATTCGTAAAAGAAGGCCTATTCCAATTCCCGATTCTTTCCGAAGAATGAGGAAACGATAGAGGGTTATTATCGGGGCATAACTGTCTTGAGCAGTGCCAAACTGTCTGGACAGAGGCTATACTCAGGGTCGGCTTAGTAATTTTTGGTGATAGGCGATCATCCAGCATGCAACAGCTTATTTGCCAAGCGGTTGCCGCTGTGGCTGAGAAGTCTTTCTTTCCAAATTCCTATTGGTTTGCGGGCTGGTCAGAAAACTGTCGACCTCAATTTCCTCTTCATTTCCTCTCACCTACTATCACCTTTTTTGCTTGCACATTGCAAGTGATTCCTGCCTTCACTGTCCTTTTTCTGCTCTGTGACTGCAGATGCCCTCAACTACTGTCTGTTCTACAGCCCCACTCAGCGGGTTAATAAAAATCTGCTTCAGTGCTATCACTCTGGTAATGCATTGTGGTATTATGCATCTGCTTATCTTCAATGGATTTTCCTGTTACATCATGTAGATTTGATATAGCGAGAGAATTCAGTGTTGATGTGAACCTGCAAATCAGAACATTTTGCTACAGCAAGTAATGTGTGCTGATTGTTGTGTCTGGTTTTCGGGAAGTGCACTGTACCCATTCATGGTCAGATTTTTACTGTCATGTAACAGTTTGATGAACGTTGTGATGTGTTCATTGTGGACTAATCGACCTTGTGATGGCATGAGGTGCGCAGTATTAGAGATAATATTTTCTTTCTTGAGATGGTGCCAGGTGCATAGGGCATGTAATTATAAGATGCTGTTCAGATGCCCACCAACTTGTGATCTCTTGCATACTAGATGGCAGACTGAGTTACGTTCACCTTCCTTGGGGCCTCTAGTGTGAAATGACAATTCATCAATGAGTTCGATTTTAATGCCGGAAATTTTATTGTTCTTTGCAATCTTAGTATAGGTCATCGAACGGAGCGCACTCAGGTGATTAGATTTAGACTGTGCAAAATGCGAGCTGGCAGCGCAGCCGCCGAGCAAGCTTTTTGCACTACCACTTTATTGAGCAGCTTGAACCAAGGGAAAGAATCGGGGACCCAGCAACTGCCGCTACTGGATTTGGAATGGTCCAGGATGCCATTCTATGGAAAGGCATGTACTCATTCGGTTTTCATCCCATCTTATCGTGGCCAGCCCCTCAAGTCCTATGACCGACGGCATTATCAGTTGTCACCCATACTTATGCAAGATTATGCCCGGTCAATATCGAAGATCTCGATAGAAGCGGCCTCACACGAGCAAAATCTTCTCGCACTTCATACTTGCCATGGTCCCGGTCAGCAGGTTTTGTCAACGGGCTCTGCGTTATTATGTACAACAAACTGATCATTGTCATAGCTCGGTTGATCAGAATTTTTGCATGCTTCTAATCCACCCAGCAAGAAAATCTGGTGGATATTTTTTCATGGACTTAATAAAAATATTTCTTGGGAGAACAACCTTGAGCAAGGTTTTTTCCTTCTCGAAGGGGCGATTGAAAAAATAATTGCCCTTACACCTTACATGCGATGCTCGCCTTCGTGGTACGCTCTTCTTACGCAGGCTTTTGTTGCAGGCCGGTGTGAAACTGCATCTCAGTCAAATCCCTTGACATAGTCAGCTTCTTCGGGTTCTCTTGACGCAGCTGCTCTGACTCTATGGGGCCGTTTTGCTGAAGTCCTTGGCACATGCACTGACACTCTACCAAATTCGAGAACTACCTTACGACGTGCTCAGTTATGGCTACTGATAAATAGTCGCTCTTAATGGTATTCTCTTCAGAGCATTTTCTTCGAGCCGTACGATGTGCAATCCATCACCTACTACTTCGTCTTCCCTACAGCCGCATTTCTTCTTGCCTTCACACTTTTGCGTTCCAAGGGCCGTAAATCTATGGTCCGAAGGATCCCTGGACCGCCGAGTCCTTCATCTCTCTTAGGTTTGTCGCCCCGGCTCCGTCGTCTAGTCTGTATTCTGAATTTATCAGGCCATGAATACCTCCTCCGTAACTGTCAGCACGTGGGAGACATGGAGATGGAATGGTATCAGCAATACGGCGCTGTATACCTCACAAAGGGATGTTTCAGGGTCAGTACCATTTGGCTATCTCTTAATTAATAGCTCTGACATCCAACACAGCACGATGTTTTGTCCGTTGCTGACCCTAAAGCGTTGCAATACATATTTCATTCGTCTGGATACCGATTCCCAAAAACAAGAGATATGAATCGTATTAATGCAGCCATCGCGGGACCAGGATTATTTGTTGTGGATGGTAAGCCACTGTGTCCTGTGTGTCCAACATTCACCGTTTAATTGGAGTTGTAGGCGAAATCCACCAACGCCAGCGGAAAATCCTCAATCCTGCTTTTGTAACACAGCAACTCCGACTCTTCCTGACTGTTTTCTAGGCATCTGCTACGAAGGTGCGGGAGGGACATAGGCTTCCATGACAATGGCTCATTCTGTTACCTTAGCTTACAGAGCAGATCAGCCAGCAAGTTAAGGATGCCGGAGTAATAAATGTCCTTGAATGGACAGGCAAGGCTGCACTGGATATCATAGGCATCAGTACGTTTCATCTTCCATTCATGATTGTCAAAGCAGGTTCACAGTCAACTTGCCAGCGTCCTTCCGATACGAGTTCAACTCACTCAGCAGTGGACAAACCGAGCTTATGGCAGCGACTAATAATCTTTTGTATACATAATTCATTTCATGTACAGTGTATTGCGTACTCATCCTTGAACAGTGGTGACTGCATGATGTCGCCAACATCACTGGAGCTTCTGTGTTCTTCGCTCTGGCGCTTACTTCCCGAGCGGCTGGTTGTACCGCTCGAGTGGCTACCCAACAGAATTACGACACGGCTGAATTACTTTAGAAATGTTGTGAAGAGAGTATCACGGCCCATCTACGAGAAACAACTGAAAGAGATGGCGAACGATGTTAATCCAGCTGAGAAGGATGTCGTTAGTCTTCTCGGTACGTAAGATGCATTCTATACTAGACGTATCTCTCATCTTGGCCCAGCGATATCCCAGCTCAATAACGATGCAAAGAAGAAGATGAGCAACATAGAAATCGATTCCCAGCTGGCGTAAGCTGCTTCAAGCTCCTTGTCGACTCCCACTTGCTGACTGAAATCATCAGGAGTTTCGTGTTCGCTGGCCATGACACAATCGCAGGCAGTACGGGCTGGCTTCTCTATGAGCTAAGTCTCCATCCTGAGGATCAAGCTAGGATACGCGAAGAGATTTCCCAAACCAAATCAAAGGCCTCAGGAGCGCTCACCTCAAACGACTACGATTCGATGATCTGGCTGAATGCTTGTATTAAAGTGGGTCGGATATCACGGGAGTTCCTGGCAGGTGTTGATACATGGGCTTCAACTTTAGGAAGCCCTCCGTCTTCATCCTTTGGGGCATACCTTGTATCGTCAATCGTCTCAGCATGATGTTCTGCCCCTCTCGGAGCCTATTACCACGTTGGATGGCTAAGTATGCTCGCGGATCCCCATTCACAAGGGACAAGTCATCTCGGCTTCCATATATACTTACAATAGGTTTGTAGCCTGTTTTTATTCTGCGACAAATCACTGATGGGCACTGGTACTAGGCTTCCATCAGTATGTGGAGATGACGCCAATGAGTGGAATCCCAGTCGATTTCTTGATGGGAGAGATGTTAAGCAAACATCTATTGGAGTTTATGCGAATATGTACGGTTTTGTTCACTTCGTTCATATCGCAAGCTGATGACACGGCAATCGCTTGACAGGCTGACCTTCAGTAAGCGTTCAGATTTCCTTGTCGATAAATTTTGTTGATAAATTTTGCTGCTATAGGTGCTGGTATTTGTGGATGCATTGGGTATGTACATTGAGCGCTGCGGGTAATCATCCACATCTGATCTATGACTACTCATATCTGCAGGTGGAAATTTGTGTACGTACACATTCACTCTTCATGCTTTCTTCGCTCTGATTGTTTCATAGTTTTATGGAACTGCAATCGTTGATCACAGAGCTCTTGAGTAATTTCGAATTCAGTATGCCGAAGGGAGTTTCCAAGTTGCAGCATGGTCCTATCGGTGTGGGTTTGATCCCCATCGTTCCAGGAAAGGCAGAACAAGGAGCGCAAATCCCGTTGCTTGTAACCACACTTAACAAATAGGATGGGCTATAACCTCAGATGCCACGAAATAATTTTTCTCAAATAGAATACATATGCTGCTCAATTGGAATAACATGACTCGGAGAATATTATCCCCCTTTTCTTATATTCCACCTCCCTAATGATATTGGCAGACCTTGAAACCTGTCGATGAACACTTGCTTCCTAACAGCCAGTCTTTAGATGAATGTTAGAGCAACCGTTTGTTCTCAGAAATATAAGACTTACATCATGTACGCCACGGCACGTTAGGACATCGACTGAACCCACGAAGGAGACGTGAGCTCGAGAAATGCTAATGAAATGAGTGCCTCAAGAATCAGAGCTGGATGGACACAGCATGAATTGAACGCAACCCTTGGATCGGCTGGTGAAAAGACTGCTGCGAACCAGCAATAATACTTACTTGAGCCTCGGAGTCACCTTGCCCGTTACACCATCATCCCATGAAGATGCTTTCACAGTTCAGCGTGGGGGTCCTAGCCAATCGATCTTGATAGGCGACGCTACAAGCACACCAATTCTAAGTGAATATCATTAAGAAAGCGAAGTGGTTCAAAGTGGACGGATCCTACTAAGTATACGCCAATTCACTACAGCCTTTTGCGCGTCGCTGCCACATTATTTCCGGCTAAATCAGATTTTCTGGGGGAAAATAAGTTCACGCTCAAGGATGGCTCCGCCACACACATCTGTGCCATGTACCCATTGAGCTGGATTGTCTTCGCATCCCATTCTGCTGCTGAATTTTGGTGGGCATAGGATGCGTCCTCAGTGATGACCATCCTCGCATTTCCATTCAGGAGTTTTCTCCAGCCGACGTCGATCTTCTGTCCGCTCTCGACCCTGGGGCATGAATGTCCCATCGTGGTGAAGCTGTCTGCAAGGGAAGTTTCGTTCCGATCGCATAACCCCCTAGTGACAGGTTTGGGCAAGACGGGAAGGGGGGTTTAGTTCCGAGTCGCCAGTCGCAGGTTTGGGCAGGGCAGGGAGGTTTACGGACTCCTTCTCATTCTCCTCAATGGGGCACGATGGGTATTCAGAACGCAACTGTATTCTTGTATCTACAAAAAAAAAACGTCTCCGGAGAACGATACGTGACAGTGTCGGGAATCTTGGCACGGGATTTTGAGAGTATAGCGTCAATCTTCTCTTCTAAGGCCATCTTCACACATCCGTACCACTTAGTTGCATAGCCAAACCCACGACGGAACGGCTCGTGGATTGGTACACCCTAAAGAAGGTGACAAAGTCAGTTTTCATTTTATAGACTTGACCGCAGTCGGAAGTCAGCCTACCCTCACGTTGCACATCCAGAAGCCCCTGCTGACATAAAAGTCTTGCAATGCTGAGCAGAAAGAAGTATTCGACGTTCTTGAATGCTCCAGCGGAGACTAGTAGAGGTTCAGTTACATTGCTCATGAATCCCGTTGCAAGCTAAGGTTTCGCAGGGCAAGGCGGTAACTCTACGTCCAACCTAGAGTTCTTCTGGAACATCGCCAATGGCTCGATAAGATGCAGAAGCAGGTTCCTCCACTCGTGATATAAGTTTGGGTGTACATATAGGGCTGCGTGCAGCGAGGTTTGGTGGGCCATCCAAGCCATCATCGAAACCAGGGAACGTGTCATAACCTGGGGAGTGCTCAAGGTTCGCCTCAGTCCCTGAACCACCTTCGTCCTGTCATCCGTCCATCAAGTCATCCTCGAACTCTCAGCCCTTTTCCGTGCCCGCTCCTCAGCGTCCTTGACCTGTCTGAGCAGAGAGAGCCTAGCATGGTCGTATGCGGCATCACCGACGCGTTTGGAGGTCCTTGTGGTCGCGTTTGCGCTTGACTGAGGTGAAGTTGAGGTTTAGATCATAGTAGACATGCGTCGCCACGATGGAGTAAAAAGAAGCGATATATTTTGCATTGCACAAACAAAAAAGTGAACGTCCTACAAGAATTGTCCTGAATGTCGAGGGATCGTCAAGTTGGAAACAAAGGCGAAAGTCCTCAGTGCCTGACACCAGGCAAGATTTCACGGCCCGATACGGGGCCTGAACATCATGGTGAGACGGGCCCCACATCGCCCCACATGCGGTATTTCAAATCTCCCTGCCAGAGGTGCCTTAAACATGAAACAGGGTTTATGTTGACGATTGACATGAGTATCCGCAGAACAAGTGGGTTCGGTTCCTTCCTTCCGGTTCTAGTGCTGCAGGCTAGGTTCTGTCAATTTACTGAGTTACGTTCTATCTGGTGATTATAATCAGACTATTGTATAGAATTTTTATCAGGATGTCGTGAAGTTGAACCTGCAAAGATTCAACAGTGATCCAACATCAGCTACCTTGTGTCATGTGGCTAAATAAATTTGCACATTCTAGTCCATTATTCAGTTCAAGGTAGTGCGTTTATAACGGTAAAATGATACACGTAGATGTTTTTGCATTCAGAATGCTGTATCATAGCGCAAACATGTTGAACAAACTAGCTACTAGAGATGCGTCAATCTCCGAGATCTAGGATTTTAGATCTCGATCAACTTCAAAGCAACTACTGAGTAACCGGTGGTACCTTTTTTATTTATTTCTAGAGAACAAATCAACCAGAAATCAGCTATATCTTAGTATATCTTTGACTCCTGCCTCACCTGAAGTTCTGCCCGAAGGGAAAAGTGGAGTGGCACTGAAAGAATTTCCTTAAACAGTTGTATATGGATACGACCATCAAATGTATGGGCTGACCTGTACTGTCAACAGTCACCATATGGGCTGAAACCGTCGATGGTACGGGTCTGAGTCATAACCGTACCCGTCAACCGTAAAGTTCTTGGCAATGCCGCATGGCTCCAGGCTTTTTTCAGACCAAAATCGCGCTAGATAGATAAATAAGGTTAGTATCTGTATTTTTTCCTGGATCAAGAATTCCTATGCGGTTCCGAGTCCTGTGTATACAAGATTCGGTCTATGCTAACCTGAGGACCTCAGTGGCGGTGCATGATGGTGATAGTCCGATAATTCGCCATGACGTCAATGCCAGTTTATTGCTTGGTAACCTCGTGGTGACCAAATGTTCTTTGCTTTCTTTCGCTTTTCCGCTCGATGCTGAACATAATTCACATTGCTAACTTTTCGATAAGTACTTGAGATTTGTGTATTCGTGAGAAAATTAACATTTGCTTTAGTTGCTGTATCTCTGATCACTAGGGTGGCACTCGCCGCCTCTAGTAGGTACCCGTGGACGGGGACGATAAATGATGATGTATGTCGACGTTCTTTTGACAGATCTTTTGGCCCCATTAACAGTCTCTCTAGGTTCACAAGCCACTTGATGGCGTGAAGCTTGCGAACTATGCCATCGAAAATGACCTGATCTTCATTAACAGAAGTGAAGTGTCTTCCATTAGAATCGTGCTCGAGTCGTAACCATCTTTTCTAGGCTTGGGAGCAAATGGCGCATGGGTAGCAAAAGAAGGCACGCTCAGCTCTTTGGCTCGGTAAGGGCTTAGGATTTCAAACCATAATGTTTAAAGCTGATTGAAACCGCTCAATGCGTAGTCCCAAATACAACATCTTCGCTCTGATTATTGGAGTAGACAAATACGAATCCCTGGAATACGAGAATCTAAATGGTGTCTCCAGTGACGCCAATAGATTCGAAGCATATCTCCTCGAGGACCTGCAAACTCCGAAAGCAAATATCATCAGCTTTCGTGATGGACAGGTGACAAGGTCAGCTATCATCGACGAGTTGACAAAGATGAAGTACAATTCAAATATACAACCAGATACGACAGCAATCATTATATATTTTGCGGGGTACGGGGCTACAACAATCAAGCCAGTCGAATGGATAGATTGGGAAACTCCTTACAATCAAATTGGGATGCTTTGTCCCACCGATATTGGCATCCTAGATAAAAACGGCAATGTCATCAATGGTATCCCAGACAGGACTATCAACCAACTTCTTCTGGAATTGTCATCCGTGAAAGGCAATAACATTGTATGTTGCATGCTTTTTATCGTGTATGGCATGGGGTAAACCTCTCTTTCAGACATTAATACTGGATTGTTCTCATATTAACTGTTCAAGTGATCAACAAAAACCTGCTGATATGCCAACAGCCGAATCCTCACATTTGGACTTGCATATTCTCTTGACAACTTACAATCGTTTCGGGCGGTTTGCCTACAAATTGAGAGGGGAGGGACTTTTCACTCATGCATTGCTCAAGGTCTTGAGGGAACGGTCAATAAATGAACTGACATACAAATCATTGGCCCAGTGTCTCTATATTTCAATAGAGTGAGTAACAATGCAAATCGGCATGCAACAGTGGAAAGAACGGCACCCCCATAAGCTAAGCAGTCTAAAAGGGATATAAGGGAAGCACAGAAAACTCAGGTGATATCAAAATAAATCAAAAAAGGGCACACGAAAAATCAGTCTTCTTCAAGCAGCAAACTTTCTTCATCTGAATCAGCGCCTTCAACCATTCTGGCAACCTCCTGCTTGTGGGATTCCCACAGCTTCTTCTCAGGACAAGCATCCTTGTAATGACCCTTCTGGTCACAGAAAAAGCAAATGATCTCAGATGCATCAGGGCGGGAATGACGTTGAGTAACAGAAAGGGCCTCATCAGTGGCTGTGGCATTCTGGGTGGAACGGTGGTGGTTCATAGACTGGCAAGTCTCATTGTTCAGCAGTCAGGTGATAACATGGTCGATAGTGAGCTGGTCGGGGGGAGTGGCATCGAAATGAATGATGACGGTGTCATAAGAGGAAGGAAGGCCCAGAGTAAGTGCCAAGATCACATCCTGATCACTCACTTCAATCCCCGACATCTGCATGGCGAACGCCTGCCCACGAATCTCTCCAACCCAAGACTGAATCGACTGATTGCTCCGTTTCTTCGTCATCAAGAACTTCCTGCATAATGCCAGCGAAGTCGCAAATCCTCTGGCTTGGTGGACACTCCTCAGCATCTCCCAAACCTCCATCGGGTCTCTCGCAATCATGTGTGGCAGCTGACCACTGTCAACTCGCAAAATCATCTCTGCACGAGCTTCAGCCATCTTCGAGGCTGCCCGCTTGGTCTTCTTCGTCAGGTACTCTTTCTCAACCTCATCAGCAGTCTTCCCATCTCCATCAACTAGGATCTCGATAATGCCAGTCCACAAGCCCTTCCGAATGAGCTCAGCTTCCATCATGATGCTCCAGGTCGCATAGTTTGAGTCATTGAGCTTAGGAAAGCGAATGGAAGAGTCGTCAGAAGACATGGCGAAGGGGGATGGATGGAATGAGTCTTGTGAAATGAGGGGGGTCAATGGTAAGCCTTAGCATTCTTGTAGCTAGGCTGATGGTCTCGTAGGTCTCAGGGGCCGCAACAGTCTCGACGTTGGGCTATCAGTAAAGCAGCAGGTGGCGGCAGCGAGCGAGTAGAGCAAGAACTCGAAGGGTTATGCTGCATGTTTGTGTTGGAGTACGCTGTTCAGCTCAGATAAGTGGGACTCCGGGATTAGCAGGGAACCCTCGCAAACGCGCGAGGGGCTCGATTACAAGGTATCCTACTTTATATACTAATGCTAAATTTAGAAAATATACTACGGAAAGGAGGGGTGGCCATCGGAAGCACGGCGCATTTGGTATTTCAACAGCAGTGAATGGAGTATGTTGGCTGGACCTTTTGGGGAGTACGTGGCATCTCACTCAGTCCAGTCTACTGACTGATGTGAATCACAGATATTGTCTCTAGCCTTCTCCATTGCACATTGCGGTTCGGTTCATCATTGCCAAGGCCATTCAACTTCCCACCCTTACTGTCGTGAAGTATTCGTTGTCATACCCTTGGACATCACCACGTTGCCCAGGCTTGAGGTGCTGTTCTCAAGATCAGTAGCCTTGTCTCGTGTATCACTAGACCATTATTCAACCAACTTGAATTTTCAAACGTACCACTGTGACATCCGGTAACTGTGAGCCTGTCAGAAGAGCAGGGGACTCCACCCTGCTCCTTTTCTTTTAATTTATACTCCGTCTTCACCTTGTCACGGTTGACAGTGCAAGTTCAGTATCGCTTATTCTGTTGTACCATTCAATGCACCTTGTGCCGCCCACCCCATCTTCAGGACTCGGATCTGCCACGCCCTGCAATGGCCCACTGCTTCATACGGTTACGGTGCAGATCCCTATCAGAAACTGAATCCCCTTCACCAAAATCTGGTTTCCAACAGACAGGGACATGTCCACTAAGGAACCATTTTCAGCTTCGCAACCCATTCCCATCAGAATTCCTTTGCCAGACTGACATGACTCGGGGTCAGGACTGTTGAGGAATAGTACGGAGCCAAACAATGGGTATGACATGCAGCCATCTGCTCTTGTTCAGGTTCGATATTCTTCGGACTGAGAGTGGCTCAGAATTCTCAGATATATTTATAGGAAAGGCTCTGTACTTTCATCCGCACCAAACTCCTCCATCTTGCCGGCGACAGTGCTATGTTTCCCTCACCCATTGCGAATCATATCGACCCACCCTGGGGTGCCGCTGTTGTTGGGCCTTCTGGCAGCGAGGTTAAAGAACCCGGAGTATATGCAGAGATGTATGTTCTACACATTTTGTCACTCTTTAGTGGTGCGAAGTTCTGACCGAACTTCACTAGTCCGTGGATCCCTTGTGGTCGTTCGGGCATCACTTGGCCTGTAATCATTGCATGTAGAAGCAGAGAGGATGCTGAAGAGATAAACAAAATCCTCAATCCTTTTATTTCTCTCTGGCACCAGGAATCGATTAGCGATTTTCTGAATCGCTTATCCCAGTATGATTCATGGAAAGATGTATGCGCCATGTTCGATCAGCCTGGTGCTTCTGTGTGGTCTGTCATTCATGGGCGTCGCTGCGCTCTGTATTACGATGAGTGAGTACCTGGTTCTTCCCTATCAAGATCTTTATAATGATTGGTGACCTTGTAGGCGCCATGTCATTAAGACATTAAACCAAAATAGCTTAGGTTACCGTACTGCATACAAGTTCTCCTCATTTCACGATGCATTTGTCTGTCACTTAACCAGAGCAGACATTGTCACCAATGGGACCCTGGTATATCGGTCAACTACGGCACCCTCCCCGAGGCCCTCACGCGGTCCATTAGTTGCTGCACCGTCGGGCACACCCCAAAGTCCGCCGTCGACTCCTAGCAAGTCGAAGAGCAACCAAGAGGAGACAAACGAAGACTACTGTGAGTACTGGTCTCTGAATTATGTGGAAACCAGCTTAATCACTGACATTGATCATAGTAAGCAAGATGCTATCGGCTCTTGCTCTTTCAAGGACTTATTCGCTGACACCTGTTTCGCCAACTTCAACACCTTCGAAGTCCCCTGTTGGCATACCAAGGGCTTTCCCAAAGGCAGGCCAAAGTTCGACGTCAGGTATGCAAAGACAACATTGCTTCTGGCGGCTGCGAAAAAAATTGCTTACTTCTTGGCAGGGAGAAATGATCCAAAGGACTCGGACATGATACGAATACCTAATCTGGTCCTACAATACATCACCCTTCACAACCTCCCCGAGGATTGGGTCAGACACTCGCTAAATGTCAGTGAAGGCCGTCGTGCCAACTTTGTCAAGCACATGCAAGAACGTGGTCTAGACCGGGAGGCCAACTTTTTATGGAGCCTCTACGAGACCTGTATTCAGTTACAAGATCTGTTATTGTAGATAGATAATAGTAACTGACTGTGCACTGATGCCCTGTGCCCTAGACTGTTGGCCACTACGAACAACTCTGTATCCGTTTGGAATACCACGATGCGACATCATCCCCATGGCGTTGTCGCATCTATCGTGTGTCGTCCTGAGTGAGATCAGACTGGAACAGCATCACCTGCTTTTGCTAGCAGCTACGCATGGCTGTCGATGCATATACGATGAAGCAGAAGGGTTGCAGTGATAATCATAAAGGAAATCATGTACGAGGATCACAGGGCACGTCCTTTCTGTCTGTCGATGTCGACAATGGCTGACTATATGCGTGACAGCAGGTCCACATCCATTGCTTCACCGACAACGCCGCATTTGGCCTCTACCTACCCGAGTACTTTCCAGACCTTCACAATGGCATGACACGCGTCGTTTGCTACGGTGTCTGGTCTGAAAGTGCACACCAAGATTCGCAGGCTGAATTTGGGAGCGGAACGATGTGTATGAAGCCAGAGACAGTGCCTGACCCTTCAACGATGGCTCACAGTTAGGGACGACGTAAATTCATAGTGACTAGATTGTGTACTGTGGTTACCCGTCATCGTGAAAGGACCTTCCCTTCACTGCAGCGGTTTGGAGGAGGTCGTCGTGGATATGAAGCACTATGCTTCGTCGTAACCGGGTATATCATCGACGCCCAGAAAAGAGTGCATGTTGAAACGAGGATCTGTGCCCATCGAGTACCGATCTGTACGGCTACTTGAGCGGATTGATGAACGACCATGTGCGTAAACGATATTGTAGCGAAAGGTCTTGGTTAGCCAAGACGGCAATGGCTCAATACATTGATATTCTTATTGACATCCGGTGCAATCTTACTAAGCCTGACGGAAAGACATGTTAGGTCTTGACATGAAAGTCAGAACGATAAGATATGCACCGTACACCGCTTTACAGCACCTTTTGACTCCATAACATCCTCGGCTGGATTAGCATTCATTATCCCTTCAAAACACCCGAGATCGAATCATTCCCTTGCAGGAAGGAAATACGAGAGAAGTGATTATCTTGGGGGTCCCGCTGACCTCTGAATGACGATTCACGTTGGCAACACACCACCCGAGTCCTCGGGGAATGTAGCCGATGGTTAAGTGCAAGACAAGCCTGGTAAGCTAAAACTCGTGTTATGACCAATTTCGGACCTTCAGCTTCAGTGCACAAGTGGCAGAACCGTGATCCTATCGACATCCACGAGCAAAGAAGGAAAGAAAAAGAAAGCCGCAACGCGCCAGACCTCCACATCATCACCCGACTCCCAAGTAGAGCCTCCTTCGCTGACATCAGACATTGTGGTGCAATGACGCGATACAGTCAATCTTCAAACGTAGTGGACTTGATACAAGCACCGTCGCCGATGATGACAATAAAGCTTTGAGAATGGCGCCGGGATGAAGGTGAAGAAAGGTGGCGTGGGAATCTTCAATGTCCTTTCCAAATCTTATTCCCCGGCACTTGTCTTCCTATTGCTGGCTCGCCTCGAGACCCGGAAATCTTCATCAAGTTCTGTACCATCTCTCCTCCATGAAAATATAGCCTGACATTCCCGTATCGGCACGCTAACATTAAATTTTACCTGCCCATACGATCTGCCACTCCTTTCTGAAGTTGGAATGCGTAGTCAAGAGTCCCTTTGACCCAGTGCTGAGGGTATCACGGTTACGTTGATTCGCGACGCATGACCCTCCTTGCCTCGCGGCCGAACCTAGCCTCGATAGACACATGTGCTCCTTGTTGAAGGAATATCCTACGCGGAGTGCCGGCCGACACTGATAGCACTTCGGATAACCTCTCGCCACCGGGATTGCATGGACTTTAGTACCCTCCTAGGTTTAGAGCACTTTGGCGATGTCTCGGGGAGGACTGAAGAGAGGATCTTCTGTTGTCGTAGGATCTGGTAGCCAGTAAAATTTCCCGTGTCGATTCGAGGCGTCCACGTCCTGAGGTAGTATTAATACGGAATGACACAGCACATGTATCTGAACAGAAATGAATACGACAGTGAGAAAGAGAAGAAAGACTGCCGCACTAGACAAAAGCGTCAGTATCCATAGTCGAGAGTACAGCGGCAACCTGCTTCCTTTACTCAGTCTCGGCATCGACGACGAGGAATGTTAAAGAAGCAGACATCCTGCAAAGCAACCATAAGTTGAGGATGGCCCAAACACGAACACGTACTGGCTTGACCCGCAATAACTTCACAGGGCAGAAATCCCTGTTCGAATCCATCAGCTAGGTCTGCGAGTTATGCATGCACGAATGTACGCACTCGAGAAAACTAGTCACCAAGCTAGTTGAGATAGTACCATCCAAGTCGTAAATATATCCACGCCATGATGGAAGGCTCGCAAGCAACGGTAAAAGCTTGAAAACGGTACGACAGTATGCGAGTAATCAAGCCGACCTGTGAGGAGAGGAATAAGAAGCGTAGCATGGGAAAGTTACCAAATCTGATTCCATTCCCTCTTCAACGTTCAACCAGCTCCTCCACTATCTCGGCGCGCCACATTCATCGACATTCCTTAGGGACCTTATCCTTAACCCTGATGTTCACCTACACCCTACGACTTGCCTTCGTAGTCCCACGAAGACGTGTTGCCTAGTCAAGAGTCTACAGCATTTCTACTTGACGTTCTGATTGTATTCGCCTGGTAACGGCAAATTTCCCTTCAACACGTCGCGCCTACTTGAAAAGACGTTCACCTTGGATTCGAAGACCTTGGGGTTGAAGAGGTATAATGCTCAACTGGAAGACGTGGGATTACACGAGCGCCTGTGAGTGCTGGGCAGTATCTCGCTTTTGTCGCACAAGGTAAGGATATATCCTTCTTTTTTCATTCCTTCTTTATGGCCGTGTCTCTTAGGATAGCATACGCCAAATCGACAGAATACACCCGCCAGACCAAGACGCCTCAGGCTCTCGTCAGGGACCTATAATAAATGCCGATGAGAACTTTGATGGCTCTGGTAGAGATTGCAATTGTACTTGTACTGATTCACATTTGTGAATATACAAGTACTATTCTAAACCGATTGACCGTTCAACACCAGTCTGATGGTATACACCGAGATGGCTTCCAATCGTGCCCCAGTCAACATAGCCATCAGAAGTACATACCTTCCTCGTCTCTGTGTCGAGGTCGTGCTATTCCACTCTTACACAAAACGCCCCTTGGCCCAAGCAGCATCAGTCTTCTCTCGACTGCAAGTGCCACCGACAGGTCCACAGTGACACTGTCGCATCTCAACCTCCACGAAAGGCTCACTCATGGAAGAAGCCATCACTAGCAAGGCATGATTCTCTCTAGCATAGAAATGGCGAAGAATTGCATTTGCGGGCGTGAATTGGGTGTTTGGATGTAGTGGAGTGGATAGGCGAGCATAACTAGCGGATGGAGGTCGTACGATGGAGCTATTGAGGGCGGAAGCAGGATACATCCCGATCGACTGATCGGCCGGGGCATTGTACGTATTCTTCTCTTCAGCTTTACATCTGCGAGTCCTTTCTGAATGGGTTTTTAGTTTCAAATCTACGCGTTCAATCACACGCGGCGCTCTCCTTGTCCTTCCCGATGGTGCCGAACCGGCTACGATTCCGAAAATCCAGGTCTTCTCGGGGAATATGCAGCTGCCAATGCTCACAGCTGGTACGAATACCTCAATGGCCAAGGCAGGGGGATCCGCAACGGCACACTTTACCTTGTCACTGGATGCGACAAGTGCCGCTCTTGGACCATCCAATGTTATCAGTCCAGCAACATGTCGAAGTTTATACTTGGTAGTGCAGGACGGGAGATGCACACAGCTTCTGGTGTCCATCAAAGAAGTCACCAGGGCGACGTGATACCGAGAGCGACTGTAAATCAGACTATTTTCTTGCGCGGATACTCGATCTCTGTGCGTGATCGACCAGCATTATGTGGGTTGGGTATCACGCCGACCATCGTGAGGATACCAGCACTCTTACCAAGAACCAAATGGGTTGGCCTTATTCTTTTCTTTTCACATTCCGTACTAATGCTGGAATCTGATCGCAGGAGGAGATACCCTACGACAACAGATCTACGCATGAGGTTGACACGTCGGTTCAGCAGTTCCCCGATGTCTATCCATCATTGTTAGTAAATGATCATATACTGAATACTGTAAGCCAGTACGTCGTAAGGGCGCACTTGAGCTCTGTTGAAGGAGACACGTGCGCCCGGACATAGATACCCGACTCTTACCCATATTGTACACCGCCGTACGGACCATTTCTTTTCCTATCGCCCCTATACTTCAACCCGACTAGTATATATACCCCGTAGTTACCGTTCGATCCCTCAGCCGTTCTCACCACACGCTGTGTTCCGACTGAGGTATGCATACTACTATTATACCGTTATACACTTACTTACTATCACTTAGCTTTAACTTACTTCTCTTGACTTTAGGTACGATATACTCAATATACAGTCGTTCTCACCACACACTGTGTTCCGACTGAGCTTTAACTGACTTTAAGCTCACCCCAACTTCCCTAGTGCTATGGCGCCACTATTGCGCTCACTCATGATCACTACAAGGGTATAGTAAATAATGTATGTCTTCGCATCTTTGGTAGGTCTTCCGGTCGCATTAACAGCTTCGGTAGGTTCAAACCCCACTCAATGCAGTGAAACTTTCGAATGATATCGTTTCCAGTACCAACCTAGTTTTTATTACCAAAAGTAAGTCGTTCTTCATCAGTGTATACCTCCGCTTGAATCCTAATTAATTCCCTCAGGCTCGGAAACAGACAATGCATGGACTGCAAATCAATGCGACCAACACAACGCGGAGGCACTGAACGTGGATGTACTACGAGGACTTACAGGTGTGCTTCACACTCTCGTCTCAGAAAACTCACGTTGACCGGACCTCAGGTTGCACGCCTACACGGTCTAAAAGTACACTGGGGCTGCGACCACGTCTACCGGTCTGAGTTCGATTAACGCAATGGTGGTGGTGGAAAAAGAAAAAGACAAAAGCAGCAAGTGAGAAGGGGTTTCTGCCTCATAATTTATAGCGCCACAAGCCTGCTCTGCTGTATACTCGCGGAACCCGTATCTATCTGAATGAATTTCATACCCAGACGTGATCTATCGGAGGAACTGAAGGAGACACAACACCCAGACTACCAGGTTTCGAATCTGGGTGACCAACGATGTTGCTCCGTTAACAGTAAGATACCCTGAGCTGTGGTTCGGGTTCCCAGTAGACATCTGATTGTATGTTGCCTGTTCCAAGTGCATGAACGACGACTCTGCGAGTAGGCCAAAGCTAAGCCGGAAAGAAGCGAAATTTTGTAGGTGGACGGCTACAGGATATCTTTGGAGCTCGGTGGAGACCTCGTTTCAGGTTAGAGCGGCCCTAAAAAGCACCCCCGCGCCTCCGAGATGTACTACCGGCGTTGGAACCGGGGCAACTATCAGGAACACTGCTCTGCATGGCGTCGTATCAGTGGAAGGGATCGGAACGAGTATGGAGGAGAGGCTATCTGGGAGGTAGGATGGAGACAGGCTCGATTAGAGGCTTTCTGCCTCGTAAGAGCGGTGAAGACGGATACAACGTTTGCGTGGTGCACTTCTTGCACTGTGCAGCAGGTTTGCTTCCCTCGAGCGATCGCGACATGGCGGATGATTCCGTGTTGCATTATATTGACGAAAACGCCCATCCATTCTTCGGCAAAGCGTGCTGCAATTAATGAGATAAATATCAAGCATGAATCCGAAGAAAAATACATACCTGACCGCTGCGAAAAATCGCTTGACCGCTAATTAGAAGCTACTGCAGCATTAGGTGACATAACGGCGCCCAGACTGGGGCTCGGACTAAACGGCATGTCCGTGTCCTCTTTCAGGTATCTTCCGTTGACCCTCCAAAGGAAGGAAACGGAGTTCTTTCAACGATGCTGATCAACTGCGTCTGCCTATCGAAGTCAAGATGTGTGGTTTCCGACCGCTCTCCTACACCTTCTCATGCGAACACAGTCAATGAGCTGCTTCATGGCCTCGCGACCAGAAACGGGCCGTCTTGGGACAGTTGTACGACGAGCAGTACTGTTCCGCGAAAGCGTCTGGTATGGGGTTCGAGGTCCGGATCCGATAGGCGTGCTAAAAGGATGTGAATTGGGCGTTGGCGTCCGAAGATGGGGTACCGGCGTGGAGCCGATGGTCGCGCGATTTGGGGGTGGCTTCAGTGTACCACCCATGGTGAATCCGTTGAAGCCGTTTCTATATTCCAATGCACCCTTGCCTTTCCTCGCTGCGGATAGAGTCACTCCACATCAGCCTGGCCTGGCCTTGGAGCCCTCATTCCATCCGCGCATCAATCGAGTTTTGGTATTACATTTTCCTTGGACGAGCATGATCCCAACTGAGAGATAGTCACAGCGGAGCTGAGGGCAAAGTTACTACACGATTCGAGTTTAATAACACTTTGGGATGCTGAAAAGCTCGTTACCTGCTGCAGAGGTCGCCTGGTGAATTTCCCACATTTGCAGCGAGAAAAATGAATCAAGTCGTTATCCCACCCCCTGGCAAGTAATCAGAATGTAGGCAACAATCATAATGGAAACAACATACCATCGCCTATATGCTTTATCAGGCCTCACCGCCGTAACCTCCTTGTCACTTGCATAATCACTCTGCAGTCATCCATGATACGACACCCACATTCGACTCGCCGAACCCATACACAGTGAACCTCCTACGCATTCTCAAAGACTCATCTATCTTCAGTCTATACCGATCGTTGGCTCCAGGTCAGGTCCTGCTTCCTCTTCATTAATGAATTGATCAAACCTACGCTCTTCAAACTCTCCTGTCGGCGTATTATTTCCACGTGTATGTCCTTGACAAAATGGAAGGGTGAAGAGAAAGGAAAGCAGTAGTCGTGGTTGGAAGTAAAGCCTCGCTCGGCATTTGCCGTGTGCTCCCACCTCTCCTGCCAATTCCAACAAACGAGGCGACTTGCCTGAGCGAGGAAGGAAGAAGGATTGCCCATTTTCCGTATTACGTGAAGGTCTACAACACTACGTTCAACCCGCGAGAGTGAAACCCAGTCCAATGATCGACATTTGCCGTTCGAACTTGGCGTCGCAGTGTAATCCACCCTATTCAATATTCAGTGCTCATGCCTACGACCCCATAATTGGGCCAAACCTGCTACTGTCTCTGCTTCGAATCGCTGTATTTGATAAGCCCCCTTACTATTTTGTAGAAACCCTGTAAAATATTCGTTACGTAGCTCTGGTGCGTGGCTCAGTCTGGGACGTAGAAGTGAGATTAATTGTGTGCATAGACAGATAGGGTAGGCAGACGTAGATACGACTTCTCTTTGTACCTGACAATGAATCGCATACATCAAACAAAATAAGACTGCTCTGGTCGGACCCGCCGTCACTTTTCCGTAACACTTCCGTCCGACTTGAAAATTTCCCATCGATGCTTCTTGAAGTGGTCCTCCGCATATTTCTGTGCATCGTCTGAGCACAAACATCAGTAGAAACTCCAATAGGGTAAAACAAGGGTAATACCATGCATTATAAGCCGCTTCAAAGTATTCTCTAGCACTTCACCGTATTCCGACCATCTACGCAGCCACTTGCTGGATTCCGGTTCGTCTTCAAAGGCCTGGAGCAAGTCAAAGAGTTGAAGCCTTGTCGGAGATTTTGTCATGACATTGCAAGGCGGATCGGCATGCAATGCCGAATGTAACGATTAGATTACAAATGTAATATGCATGGTCAGCGAAATAACATCATCACGGCCCTATAGCCGGTGCAACACATAGGGGCCAGCACGCATTAGTTCGCGAAGTTGATAACTCCAAGTATCGACTGGAGGTAGCAGACCTAACATTTTCTATACCGTATAGTGAGAGTGCACATGATGCATGTCTGAACTCGGCTCTTTCTTCCTTTCACACGGTTCAGATTGTGCTCAGAGGCTATGGAACAGACAACAACCAGAAAAATCAAGAGCAGAACAAGTCCATTGTTTATCAAGAGCGAGCTGATCAACATGCTTAAGAAGTCTTGCATTCCTTCTCATGGTATAATCTAGTTCTCTATACATCTCTTATAAGATGTCTTCGACACAGTAGCAAGAATTCATGTACCTAAACTGAGGGAAAGCACATGGTGCTTGAAGAACAACACTTCCAGAACCATACTGAACTGAGGTATCTCAGTAACTGCGATTCTGTAGGCATGTACGTCAGCATACATTGTATTTCCTTCAAAAGATGCTCAGCAAATACAATCGGTTTCTCGTCCCACAGGATACAACATTCGCAATGGCTACCCCACAAATGGCATGACCACTTTGCCGATTCTGCTCTAAACCATTCGCAAAATGTGGTATCAGAGCACATGAAAAGACATGTCAAGTAGTCATCAATCATCAACAACAAGATGCTGAGTTTGAGGTGCAGCTGCTTCGCATCTTAGGTATGCACATCTGCTGTATTTCGAACCCATTATGCTGAATGTACTTGAATGATTAGAAACAGAAGTTCCTGTCTACAATCCTGGTATCCTTTAAATGCCTTACCTTTGGTACCTTGTTAACCTTGTACTAGATTTAGATGATCCAGATCTTGAAGCGATGGAGTACAACGTCAGTTCATATACTATAGGCGAGTGTTTGATGGCCTAGAAATAACAAAACCGAGCTGATTGAAGCAAATAGCTCCCAATGATAGTACCATTCCCATTCCCATTCCCGAGTCTCTAAATTCGGAGCTTTCAGACAAGGAAAGCCTCTATAAGCTGGATAATATCAAAACCATCTACCATCCGTCTAGCAGCTTACCATCCCGAATTGACCCTCTTGATGACCATCACCTAGGCATCTCAGAACTTGACCATATTAAAGCGCCAATTGATCCCCAACCTTGGCATCCTTTTCGCTCTCTCCTGGAGTTCGAACTCTGTGAATTCGTTTTAGACACATCTCTGACCAACGGGCTCACCGCAACTCTACTCAGCATTCTTGAAAGGTGCGCTACTAGCCCTACAGCTGCCGATAAAGACAACACGGAATCTGTCGCCCACCTGCATTCCCCCAAAGATATTGGCAGGCTTTGGGATCAGGCCTCAAATCTTCGAACACCAGTAAGTCTGTCTTGAGATCTACAAAACATGACACGTGAAACTAACTGATCCTATGCAGTTCAATAAATCTTCATTCACTCTCAAACTTAAAGGAAAAGAGTACCATTACAACGTTTATCATCATTGCCTTTTGAAATGGGCAGTTGATTTGATTCAAGACCCAAATCTTGCTCCATATTTTGTGTGGGATGCCATTAAGCTATCGAAGTGGAATGGAAAGGAATTCGTGAGATTTTGGCATGAGCCATGGACAGGAGATCATTTTTGGAACCTGCAGGTATGTCCATCATTCATCATCTTATTCTCGTTCTGAATCTGCAATAGGACACCTTACCTCCTGGTGGCAAGCTGCTTTGTTATATCTTATATGCCAATAAAACAAGGCTCTCATCCTTCGAGACTGCGCAAGGGTATCCTGTTGTTGTTAGATGTGGGAACTTGCCTGTCGATATTCGAAATGGGAGCGGTATTGGGGGCGGCTGAGTTGTCGGATGGTTACCTATAGTGCATTCCTCACTTTCTGGCTGATATTTCATGTGTATTCAGACTATTTAACCAGGTATCAGAGCTTCCGGAGCACAAGAAAATGGCCTACTTTGCAGACTTCAAGTGAGTAGTATGGCATGCCGTGTTCAATTTCATTTTGAGCCTTTGTATCAGGCGAGCAAGATTGGTGAGTGGGTGCAGGTGCCAGGTTGGGCAGAACTGATTCATGTCTTTTCAGTGCTTTTTATACTTTCAGCGGACTACGAAGAGCAGTGAGCCAGATCTCGGTTATGATGTACAGCTACTAAAGTGTCATTAGAACGGTCATGGCATTAACTCGTGGAAGTGGAGGAAAGAAACCATGCCCTGTTTGTCTTGTGCCAGACATTGAACAAAATAGACTTGAGGCCGAGTATGAGCATCGTTCCAGGGAGCAAGTTAGGTCAATTCTTCAGACAGTCGCTTCAATGAGGAGAAAGATGGATCAGAATGAACTCCTTTCTGAGTTCGGTCTCTGTAATATAGAGGTAATTCTGATAGTTCTTCATTGGCTGAGACATTAATCTTTGGATTAGAATGTTTTCTTTAATTGGGATCGAGCAGATCCATACCTCGCACTTTCGTTTGATCCATTACATGCCAACGATGATGGGCTTTTTGGGAAGCACCTGAGGACAGAGGTTGTTGCTCGTATAACAAATCTTGGTCGATCAGAATGGGAGCAGGCAGATGCCCAGTAAGCAAAGCATTCTTGTACATGTCTCAATAACAATCTGTTTTCGACAAGAATCCGGCTGTTCCCTTGGTGGAGAAATCTGTATCATTTTGAAAGTGGTTTCATGGCCGTTACATTCACAGATGGTGGAAAATATGAGGACTTGTCAAAGGTGAGTACTCTTAAAACATTGTTTGACATCTTGCATGATGGTTTGAGTCTAGCAAATCCTTTACATTGTCCACAACATCATAACTAAACAACGAGATAAGCATGGATATTTGCTTCTGAGATGTATTCACAGTTACCTGGAACTCGACATGTGTGCCAAACTACATGTTCATACATCTGAGACTCTACAGGCAGTAGAAACAGAGGTGAAGAGGTTTGGCTCACTTATTCAGGTGAGCGGGTATCCAATTTGTTTTTGTTTGGATGTTAAAGCAACAAGCAGGCATACAAGAAAGTTATGCAATGGCTGAACCCAAAAGCAAAGTCCTGGAATTTTCCAAAACTTCATGTGCAGAAACATATGGCAAAAGATATCACTGAGAAAGGTGCTACACAAATTTCAACACCAAACCAAACGAAAAAATGCATGGCTCACTAAAAGATTCATACCAGCTTCGCACAAATTTTAAGGATATCGCTGAGCAGGTATTTGGCTAAACCATGGTGTTAGACTAATAACTAATTCAATCTCTGACAGATCTTACGTGTGGACCAGTGGTTCAATGCCGCATCCTTCATTAGACAGCAGATTGATATTCATGATCAACAGCTCGAGGATATCCAAGTTGAAGAGGAAGGCGATGATGAAGGCGATGGAGAACATGTCTCTGCTCCTTCTGGTGAGACAGCAGAGCAAGTTGATTACACGACAAAGGCATCTCTACATGGAGGTCATGGTAAAGGTCAGGGATCATGGAAGCTCGAGGACCTGGAGTTGCAGAACGGGGGCAATCCGGCATTTACGAACTTTCGGCAATGCCTGTCAGAGTACATGGTGGAGGTTTTCAAAACTTACTCAGAAAAAATCCCTATCATCGGTAACGAAAAAGTTGTGTTCACCGAGTTCCAGCTGTATGATAAAGTAAGTTCATCAAAACCCTTCATCTGCAGCTCATCAATGATGTCACAATAGATTCAACTATACAGCTTACTGAAGACCTTTTACAAAAGCACCATCAATTGGAAGGCTGCCACTGATTATCTTTGATGCAGCGCAAACTTCTATAATCACCCATGGTATGACTGTGTCTTGATCGACCAGGTAGACAGGTGGTATTTTGGCCAGCTTGTTCTCCTGTTTGAGTGTAGCATAGGTGGAAAGGCATTTCCGATTGTGTTGATCCATCCATTTAGTGAACCTGTGGGTCAGAGCCAGGGTCAGGTAGCATTGGATTTGGACCTTGGTTTCTATAGGGTGCGGGCTAAGAAACGGAGTTCATCAGTCTTCATTTCCATTTATTCAATTGTACAGGGTGCATTGCTAGTGGAGGACTTTGGATACAAGACAAGCAATGGCCCTGACGCCAGGAAGGAATATCTTGTTGTTGATGCTGTAGATTCGGACATGTTCCTTCGCATGAAGAAACTGTCATACATCGGACAACGCCAGAGACGATGATAGTAAATACATTGATATTTTTAATCAACCTGCAACATATTTTAAAAAAATGGTCTTGGAACTCGTAAGCGGTTGTTTTGAGGTGAAATGGAGAACAGACGTACAAAATTTATCACTTATATTGCACAAGATCAAACACTAAGCCCAGCCTGCTTGAATGCATCTCTTCATGAGCTTCAGGTTTCCATGACGTCTGCGGGTGATGTACAAGATTTCGGGGAATAACAGGTGCCCATCCAAAAAAAACGAAAGAAAGACTCAACATAAAAGTGCATCATCTCCTTCTCCAATGACGTGAAATCCGATTCTGTGTATCCATTCTGCTTGTTCTTCAGCAACTGAGGACAATCTCTCCAGCTCCTCATGGCATTTACCAATGCAAAGGTATACGGAGCTTGCTGTTGCCAAGAAGGATGCCCTAAGCCATGGTTCGCACTGCCAATGTCCACCGCGACAAATGGAGTTGTTTGCCCATACAGAATACACTGTAATAGTAAGTCACGATTACCTCCATTGCAGGCCGCCCATGCATCTAAGGCCATCATTTCGAATCAAAAGTTGAGCTCAGCCAGCTCCCACAGAATTTCTCGAAGAT